TCTCGCCCAAATTTTTCTGCACTTTTTTCTCACATTCTTCAATATTTCTGGAAATGAACCCTAGTTTTGGAGCCAACAGACAAAATTTGAGTGAATTTTTAATTTTTACTCAAAAAATTTGGTTATTTTTGTTCCAATTTTCAGAAGGAAAGTACAGACTATTGGTCAATTTTCTGTTTTTACTCATAGACAAACAAATTTGGCTATTTTTGTCCCAATCTTCGAAATGGCATCGTAATCTGATCAATTATCCATGAAAGGTAAACTAGAATTTGGCATAATAAAGAGGCGACAAAATAATACAGCAATGTTCTACTTGTCTGAGCACCCTGACTGTTTTGCACACTGTTCATTGCCTTAATTGTATTGTAAATTAATGAATCAAATCAAATTGAATCAAATCTAGACTATTAAGCTATAAAATTCACCTAACAAAATAACCTATACATTCATCTTGATAAAATAGCCAGTTATGAGGTTATGCAAATTTTCTGATGATTGTTTTTTTAAATTTCTTAAATCTGCTACTTGTGAAGTATCGGTATATATAAACTTCAGTGGAGTAACTTGCATACAAACAAACATTATCATTATGTCTAGCTTGCAACAGTTTGGATAAGGGCTAGATTTATTTTAGAATCAGCAAGGGAAAAAAAATATAATTTAGTTGAAAATATTTGTGGCATAGAAAGAGTACAATATGAAATTTTATTTCTTCTAATTATCTAAATTTATATAAGTCGATGTCATCTTTGTGGGGTGAACCTCCCAAGTGTGAGAATCAACGCAGAACACAAAATTGAAGTCATTAATAAAGAAAAGACCTTTGCGGCGTGATGATCTCACACGGAGCTTTTATAACAGCACCAGTCCTTTGACCGTTCATCATTTTTCCGATCAATATCTTGCATTATTTCATGTATTTTTTTATAATTACTGGCGAATCAAAGATTTTGCAAAAAATAGGAAAATTATCATACTGGAAATTGTAGAAAGTAAGAAAAAATCGGATTGATGCTAAATGTGGAAAATTAAAATCCATGTTTATTATGGTGGTCACTAATTCTGAGTTTGCTTATATATTTTCTATAATTTGTGTTTTTTGATTTTTGTTAAGAACCCAAATCACTGTAACGTAACAAAAATTAAAAACCAAAATTATTATATTTGCTCATTTTTTAATGATTTTGCATGCAATAAAAGTAATTTTTGGTTTATGTGTGCTTCTGTTCGTGATGCGCTTCTAATAGAGTGAATATGATAACAGTTTTTTTCTTCATATGTGGCTGTCCTAACATTTTACTCGTTGTATATTGACAAAAAGTATCAAATCAAGAACAAAAAAATGCAGCTATTTACTCTTAAACTGGCGACTTCTCACTGAACAGACAGGTGAGGAAATTTGAGTGAATATATCATTAGATCAATAGATCTTTACGGAAATGACGCCCTAGGGATCATTGACATCGATAAGTATAATGGTGTGTTAAATATGAAAATTGAAATATAGGAACTGAAAGGTGTTTTATTAAATTTATTGTGCTTCGCTTACCTAACAAGCAAGGTCATATATAAGTAGTTTTGAAAGATGTTTACTGGTTGCTATGACGATGAGATAAAAACTGTTCAATATGGCTTTTTTTGATAAACTGGAAAATTGTGAATTGTTGCCATGGTAACATGCATTTATGAATAAGGCTAATATTTAGATGATTTTTATTTTTAATTGATATTTGAGGTATGAAATCTAGTCATCACAAATTTGAAATCAGAATAGAATAGAATAGAATAGAATAGAATAGAATTGACCTAGTAGAGAAAATGCTACAGTACATAAAATATACGATAACGTATAAATTTGACTCCTGACCACAATTGTTGCTTTAAAAAACAAATAATGTTAGTACATTTATCATGTTGAGGTGTTGTCATAGCAACTATGTAAATAAACCAAAAGTAAGAAGTTGGAGGATAATAAATATGTTTTTCATAGTAATGAATGGATTTCTTGTTTCTTGAACAGATTTTGTTCAAAAAAAGAAGCATTCCCTCATTACATAACCCTCCCCCCCTCCAATTTAAAATAAAACATGCCACTAGCTTGTATCATATATAAATGGCAGATTACATAATGAAAAACGTAGACACTGTCAATACATTCTTTGATCCAATTCATTTTAATTTAATTCACTTTATTTTGAATTAAATTTAGTTTCATCTAGTTTGTCTTGAAGTGAATTGCTGGAGCGTTAATTGATGCTGGTTGTCAAATGATATAATAAAAGCCACAATACTTGCTTTAAACCATATGTACAGTGTTAATAATCTATCCTGCTCGATGCATTGTGCTAGTTAACAAGAAATCTGCATTAAGTTATAGATCGAGTTGAAGGGAACGCATGAATTTAATGAAGCTTATAGATTTGTTTTTGTCTTGGTGTTAAAAATAGCACAGGAGATTTGGTGATGAGTTGAATCCGATAAAAGACAAACATTATAAATTGTCATCAGTGTAAATATGACTTCTTTGAATTTGTGTAGTTAGAGAAACTGGGAAATCTATCAAATTACTCTCTATCTATCTCTATCTATCAAATTAATTGAAACTACTCTCACTCTAGATTTCTAAATTGTTTTTGACTTTTTCCCCACCAGATTTTCTCCCCCAAATTTTTCTGCACTTTTTTTTTCACATTCTTCAATATTTCTGGAAATGAACAGTAATTTTTTAGCTAATTTAACAGACCAATTTGAGTGAATTTTCAGTTTTTACTCAAACAATTTTGGCTATTTTTGTCTCAATCTTCTGAAGGAAAGTGCTGACTATATAAATGGAGTATTTTGTGAATTTCTGATGAAAAGAGGAAATTTGTGGTGTAAAGTTTTAAGAATTGCTGTTATCTGAGTCGATGATTTTAAGGTTTATTGGTGTTTTGGGACAATTTTGTTTGGAAAATTGGATACCAACAATACTAATCTTGGATAAGGGCGATTATGCATCAAAACAATTTGAAACAAAAACAAAACGAAAGTTATAGCCAATCAAATTTGAACAACTAATCCAATGGAAAGTTGAGGTAGTTACCGAAAATTCAGGTATGCTAGAAAATCATTGCTTTTGGAATGTTTAGAATATATGTACAGCAGTTTCAGCATATATTGTATTCAAAAATGTGAGAAAAATATAATATACAAATATAGTCTGCCGACTGAAAGCCTTCACAACCATACAAAAATGAGTGCGAAAAAAAATTAGAAAACAATGTGTTAAATACTTTATTTACGTTTTTTTCTATCCAGTGATCATGGTATAATGTAACATAAAAAAAATTGAACACAGTTTAATTTTTGTGACTACCTTTACAGCAGAGTATGGCGTTCATTTTAAATGTTGTTAGAGACATAAAAAAAGAGTGATACAGGGCAATGTACTGTAGGTACTGCCCTTTCCCGATTCAATTGTACGGGAGTTGCCATGGAAAAAACAAACATGCAAGACACAAACAAAAAAGTGACGTTAAGGAATAAGTTGCTATAACTGGAAAATAGAAGAACATGGTTGGTCAAATCAATCCACAACCATGGGAAACAAAATTGCTTAAAAACCATGACTTTTGTGGATGTATACAAACATGTTCTTTTAAAACTCAAGTTAGTTTAAAGTTCCTTTAAGCCTTTTAGCCGATTACAATCAGTTTGTGAAGACTAACAATAGCGCGGACAATTCCTTATTTGTCCTGTATAGTTGTATATATGTCTATTCGCTTTGAATGAATTGTGGAATTCCCACGTCAGTGCTATCCTTACATCTTTATACCAGATCAACCGCATTCATCAATTGTTTATGATTTTGGTAGTAATTGTTTCATGGAAGAAAAACTGATAAAAATAGCGTTGAGATATGTTCGTGAGACTCTCTGATAGTTACATTATAGTGCAATGGCATTTGTCATATCTTGAACTTTAATCTTGTAATTGAAAAGACGATCTTGAATCCTGCATGCCATTTGTATACATCTGGGGCTGTTATTTACAATCAACTGCACAGCAATGAGTGTCTAATCATTTGATATGTATTGATTACATGTCTATGATGAATTTAAGTGATATAAATCAACATTCTGGATTAGTGATGTCTAAGTCTTGTTGTCACTTATTAAACGGATTATACCAGAACCAGGTTGTGTCAAGTATGACCAGACAGAACTGGTTTAGGCTAGATGGACATGAAGATTGCCATTTATGCGTACATGTAGTTTAAGGAATGAATATAATTTAAACATAAATATCACCAGTCAAAACTGGATTGTGTCAATTAGTACTGGATTAGGCCAGTCAGAGCTGGATTGGGCCAGTCAGAGACATATTAGGCTAGAAAGACCAGAAAGTTACCAGTCAGAACTGGATTAGATGAGTCAGAACTGGATTAGGCCAGAAAGATCAGAAGTTTATCAGTCCAAACTGGATTGGGCCAGTCAGAGCTGGGTTGTGTCAGTCAGAGAAACAGATTAGGCTAGAAAGACCAGAAAGTTACCGGTCTGAACTGAATTTGATGAGTCAGAACTGGATTAGGCCAGAAAGATCAGAAGATTACTGGTCAGAACTGGATAGGACCAGTCAAAGCAGGATTACGCTAGAAAGACCAGAATTAAATGACCAGATGAGTCAGAACTAGATTAGCTCAGAAACACCTGTAGATTATTAGTCAGATTAGAGTAATAGATTATGATTAGGCTACCTCCAATCAGAACTGGATTATATCAGACAAGAATCAACAAGCATTATTTTGTAAATTTCATGTAAATCTTTTTAGTAATTAACAAAATTAATTCATTAATTGTTGGTAAGGTGTGTATTTGATTGGGCTTTGCATTGTACAAACATTTCAGCTGCCATCTTTGTAGTCACCAAATGTAGTCACTTTTGTCAACATATCAGTTGTACTTGTATGAAATAATTTCAAATTTTTATTAACTTAAATTTTTTTCTTTTTTGTTCAGGTCAATCTACACCCTTATCAAATGGGTCGTCACGGATACACCATGGAAAGGGAAGCCATTTTGGTGGAGACTCTCTGGATGGATCACCAGGTATTCATCTTTCTGTCTTTAAGTTTGTGTCATTTGACAAGTTGAGGGCACTATATAATTCAGCCTTCAAAAAGAGGCTAGTGTGGATCGTGACATTTCTCAGTGTCTACCCATTCAATATCTTATCAGAGTCTTATAAGAGTTTTTTGAGAGTCATTATGTTATGCTTAGCATTGTTATAATACCTTTACCCCTATATTAAAATGGTTTGTTCCATCTGGAGGGATTAGTGAGGGCAGTGTTAATGTATCAGTGTTTTTCCATCCTTTCGGCCCTATTAAACACATATTGCAACGTGCATAGATCATCTGCCATCTTCTTCTCGACGTCTGCTAGCGGTGTCCCGATTTCTTCACAAAACGATGTAAAGACGCTTCTAGAAAACCTGATTGCGTCCTTCGTCTTCGGTGCATCTATATTTTCTACTAGTGTGTCAAGTTCTTCTTCTGAACTGAAGCTAAATCGTCCAGTCTTTCGAGGCGGACCATCGATATCAGCAACCAAACTAGCAGACGACATATTGGAAATCACACGATCAGGTGACGAGTGACGTCATCCCCGGGCACTAGTTGATGTACTAGTCTCCCTAGGGAACTAGTAATTTCCCTGGCGTTACTATGATAATTTAGCCGATAACACGTGATCCTGTTTTGACCAATTACAGTACAGTATTGTATTAACGAGTGATGTGTTATAATATTATAATGGTTGACTCCTATACTCTATGTATTCATTGATTTTCCATATGGTATTCGGTATTTTGCATTTCAGCATTATTGGAAGTGAACTTCATGGTCATAGAAAAACATTAAATCGAGCCCATTATGTTAGTGTTCTTGAATGAAAATTCTCAAGAAGATCTAAAAGCTGATTCTATAAATAGAAATTTGTGGGACAAGCGAACCATTACAGATGTTAGTCCACTATACTGGTTTGGCTTACTATTTTGCCTTAAAGCGACTTTCCCTTTTTCCAAACTGTCCATCCATCATGGAATCCATCAGGTTATGTCCAATGCCATGAATACTTCATTATGATTGGACGATATACTTTTAATTTATGCAAGCCATGAGTAAATAGTGCATAGTACACTGTCAGACTCTGTTATCATGGGTTAAGGTAGATATTTATATCTTGATCATGTTGCAAACCATTGGTTTTTCTCTATCAAATGTTTTTTACCAAAATTTGTGCAATTTTTTTTTCCTTCAAAATTAAGTGCCTCCCCTCCCGAGTTTCTAATGATCTACCCTGTACAGAAAAATTGTTTTATTTTTTATTGAATTAATGTGAGGTACATCTGTTAATCCTAAGATGACTTAATATTTCTATCTCGACCGAGAAGAAATTTAAAATGACATTTCCATCGTTTTCGAAAGTATGCATCTGATTACTGCAAATTTGTCATTAAAAATATTAAATGATGGTGATTAAATCCTGCTATATCAGCACAATATCAGAAAAAACATTGAAAAATTCTGGAGAAAATTTGATTACTGGAAATGAATCATCGTTTGCTGAGCGTGACAATTATTATATATGTTGGATTTGTTTGAATGATTGCGATATTAAAAAATAACTAATAGCTTTTAACCTAATCTGCTTCCGAATCAGTAGCTATAATATGGTGTTAAGATTACAGTTAATTTTTATCGTTTAGATATATTTAATATGATGTAATGTCGTTGAGTAAAAGAGTTAATGTCACTTTTAAGTAATACTATTATCTGTATCTGATTCCAACTTAATGCACCGTAAATATTCTATTTAAAATTACATGCACTTAATACATCTTGTACTGAAAGCCTCCATGGTTACATCTAGCTGTGAATGGGAAAAAACAATTTCGACAATTAATTTGTTTTTACCACCAGTTCATTACAAATTCACAAAGTCCTGTTTATAGTCTGCACTTTCCTTCAGAAGATTGGATCAAAAATAGCGAAATTTTTTTGAGTAAAAACTGAAAATTGACTCAAATTTTCACTGTTGGCTCCAAAATTAGCGTTCATTTCAAGAAATATTGACGAATATAAGAAAAAAGTACAGAACGATTTGGGCAAGAAAGTCTAGTGGTGAAAAGGTGTTTGATGCCAAAGTCAACTTATGTTACCTTTCACAAAATATATATTGTTCAAACTTTTTAAAAATTTTATAAACTTTTTATTAAACTGATAAAGAAACAACAGAAAAATACCTAATAGAATTTTAAAAATGTACTGTAGAAGCCTCAGATAGTATGTAATTGAACGGCACGTGAGCGCCATTCACATGTACCAGATAAATCAATACAATGTGAATATTTACATAAAACTTAAAAGCTACAAAGTGGAAAAATTCTACAAAAGAAAACTTTTTCTACAAAAATCTTTCCGTTTTTGGAACTCTGAGACCATTCAGATGTACATGAAAAGACAATTATAACACTATTTTTATTTAAAATTAATATCATTAAAATTATTTTAATAACCATTTTTGTTTCAACTTTATTTTTGTTATAGTTATCAGAATCATGTAAAAGTAACATATCAATGTTACCTAGTGTGATGTATCTTTGTAGCACTCGCATTGAGTACGAAAGATGTCACGTTAGGTGGAAACATTATGCATTTGTCGAAGGTCAAATCCTCCAGACTTCATCCACTTTGATTGCTATATAATTGTAATATATCAAATGAATTGGTGTGTTTTGTGTCAAATATTTAGACGTGCATGCCAAGCTGACATCACTTGGGTATGATATATCGATCTGTGCCCTTTTAATTTTGACCTTTATTTTCAATCGTGGTGTATTTAATTTCATTTCGCAAACTCATGCAGAAACAACCATGACGATCATTGTTGAGTAAATTTGATCAGTTTTTGTGATTTCAATGCTGTATATTGTTCTTTTCTGTCATCGTATGTCAGAACGAAAACAATAAAGGTTTGTTAACCCCGCAGCATGATGAATAATGGCATCTAAATTGACCTTTATCAAACCCAGTCTATGATCAATACTAAGCTAGGTGACAATCTTAATGTCATCTTTGATTGATTCTTTTAAGTCAATCGTAACTGATGAATAATTTTGTCTATTATCTTTCCTTATCTTTCACTTTTATGAAGGTAGCTAATGTAGTTTTTTTCATGATCTGTCATCATCTCATCTCGTGCATTATCTTTGTAATTTGTGTTACTGATATTCTCACGCAATAAAACTGCATGTCATCCTAGAGTTTGCAGGCATATTGCAGCATTTTCTTTTTCAATTAGTTTAACCATTTAAGCTCCAAGTCCACAAAATTGTTCCATTTATTGTCTGAGATGTTACGAAAATTTCAAATTTTTTGATCAAAAACCAGAAATAATGTCATATTTTGTCGGTTTTGTTGAAAATTAAAATGAATTCAGTGAAAATTACGAAAAATGTGAACAAATTTAACTGGGGAAAATAATTTGCTGCTCAAAGGGTTGATGACAAATGCATTTAATCTATTGTCAATTAATGGACTGGCAGTCACTTGTCTGCATCACCCACACAAATATATAGGTCTTACACCACAATTACAATCTCTAGTGCACAAACACAATGTAAAAGTAAAAAAGGTCTTATACGTAGCATGGTTTTGAAGATAGTGAAAATCATACTTACAAGTTTTACTGTTTTATTGACAAAAGTCGACTTTGTTGAAATTTAAAATTAACTTTATTAATCTACAAGTACCATTTCACAGACAAAAAATATCTACAATCTAAATACACAAAAATAAAAATAATTATGCTATTTTAGAAATGTATTCGCACTAGTTTTTATTTATTTAGTTCTGTATATTATAATAATGTACTCATATCACAATTACTATTATAATATTTTTTTGCAATTTTTATTTAGATGACTAACAACTTATTTTCAAATGCACTTAGAATACTGGTACTAATGAGATGATTTTAATTTCAAAAATAATAAAAGTAGATTTTCAATAGAATATTTTTCTCTCAGTTCTGTAGCTAGGCTACTATTTTGAATGTTAACCTATTAGTCTCTTCACAACTTTACCAACTTTTGCAAACTTCTACAAAATAGTGCCATTTCTGTAAAAGATGTTTACCAGAATTTCAAATTTTTTGGAATAACATCTATAAGAAATACTGTATTTAGACATTTTAAATTAAAACATCCATTAAATTTTAAGTGAAAAATTGAAAAATTGAGAAGGATATCTTTGGTAAGGAGGTGATGTGTATGATTATTTTTCACTACCAGTTTTTTTTTCATCATAAATTCACATTAGTCCTTATAATTTATAGTCTGCACTTTCCTTCAGAAAACTTGGACAAAAATAGCCAAATATTTTGAGTAAAAGCTGAAAATTGACTCAAACTTTGTTTGTTGCCTCCAAATTTAGGGGTTTATTTCCAGAAATATTGAAGAACATATTTTTTTTTTTTTTTTGAGAAAAAAGAGTGGAAAAATTCAGGCGAGAAAGTCTGGTATTGAAAGGGTTAAACATTCATGCAGTTTTGATGTACACTTACTTTGTACAGTAAGGATGTCATTCAGCCAATCAGTTCTTGAGAATTGATTAAGCCCAGCGGCATGCTACCTGAGCAGGCACAATATATCTTCAAGGCTGTATGCTGGATAGATTCCAGTATACTTAGACCAATCTAATTTGATTGGATAAACTAGACAGATATCAAATAACTGATAGAATAAAAGTTGATCTGAGAAGTTGACGATTTTAATCGAATTTCAGTCTGACTGTAAACACACAAAGTGCGATGTTACATAGTCATCACGCTTATTGCTCCAAGACAAGTTTAAAGTGAGAGCAGATTATATTTCCAGTGAAGATAGGTCTTGATTGGAAGTGTACAACCTTGAATTCAAGCATCTTCTTTTACACAAAAGAGGCGTAATTTAATTGGAATCTTCCAAATAAGCAAACAGGGTGTCGTTAATGAAGATTACTACGCTGTGAATAAAATGCATACACTGTGAAAAAAACTCTTTGTACGTATGAGAAGTACAATCTGCCCGATTGCATTTTTTGATTGATTAAATTATGATATATATTATTTAGTGAAATTGAATTGTACCGGGGATGATGTCGGAGATCATCGAGTTCAAGTTTTCTGTCTCCCATAGCAACTTAGGTACATGTAAATGTAGTTGCTAGGCAAAAAAATATATATAATCGTTATTTCTATGTGGTAATGTTTTTGACTGTAATTCTTGAATAATAATAATTATAAAATAATTATGGTAACATTTTACATGTTTAACCTGAGACTGGTCTCTGTGTTACTTTTAAGACAAAACAAAATATTAAATATTAAATTAAATAACATGCACGTTAAAAACAGATAGAGTAGATTTTATTTTATTTTTTTAACCTTCAACAGATATCATTTTAACCTTGATGATTAATTAAAAAAATCCTTGTGTAAGTAAAGATGTTTACAGTGAAGTTATCCAAATTTGGTCAACATTTTTGAGTCAAGTCATGTCTCATTAAAATTTTGTGATTTTGTCTTTTCTTTCCGCATATGTCAATCGATATCAAACTTATTTTATGGTTAACCTAGTTGAGCTGTATAGATTTTGGAGTTGATTTTCCAAAAATTGTAGTTTTGTTTTTAAAGTGTATGTAGTGTCTATTGGGAAACTTCATGTTGTAGTAGTAGACCATTTATCCAGCTATTGCAAGTGCAAGATGGAGAGAAAAAAAATCCCATGCTGGAAGCCATGTATAGTTTAACTATGTTAAACATATTTGGACAAAAAAAGATTTAGAGTAGGCAGTAAATTTGAGGTACGGTATATTTAGAACCACAAATATTTTTTTATTTGGTGAGGCCATACAAACCAATATGGTGGAAAATACAGAGATTTAACAAATTTCATTTATACTGAGCAAAATGCTGTACCTGTGCTTGTTTCCATGGAAACAGTAGTTGACACTCTGGCAGCCATTTTGAATTGGAGAATGACTCACAAATTCAGATTGCATATAATGTTTACTAACTTAAGCTCTCCATCAAAAAATGCAAATTCAATCTAATATTTTAATAAGAATAAAGATGACATAGCAACCATTGATCCTAAAGACGAATTTAAATGTCCTGGGCGCACTTCCTTTTGAAATCTGCTCAAATTTTAATACCCAACCTAGTTTTTGTAAGAATTGTTGCGTGTCAAAATTATCCAACCCTGTTAGATGAAATGCTATAAGAAGTCAACTAAAGCAGCTTTTAAATTATCTAGTAAATCCTGATCCAAAAAAAATAACTGAATTCTCTTGTCAGGCTGCCGAAGGGGGGTAATTGTTAACAACTATAAAGCCTGATGAGGCACCATAGAGTTATGGTTGTGGTGTTATCACGATTGGTCATTGTGTGAATGATAGTGATTTCATTTTCATCATATTGGATTATATTCATCATTGCAAGCATATTGTGCATGTACGTGCTTATCTCCGCAGTGTCACGTTACTGACATACTTACACAGATGACTCAGGTTTTTAATTCTCTGTTCTGCGTCATAAACCAAACTTTTCTTATAATGTTTACGTAAATCTTGTACTAATTACCATATTTTACATTATTACCGTACCTCTATGATGTACGATGTTCGTATTCACACTCATGATTTGGCCTGTTGTCTTACATATTTCCCACATAAGTGTTCTGCGCACTTTTATTTATTTTTTGGCTACGAATCTTGTTAAAAAAATTTTGAAAATGATATGGATTTTCTGTGTGAATGATGACAACAAATTTCATGTTCAATGTTCACTGTCACAACGTTATTTGTGATTCGTGATACCTTGTCTCTCCTGAAGTTAAAGCAGTCTTATACTAACAGAATTTGGTTGAAAATTAAAAAAATGGTATTATAATTTTACAATAATTATAACGATGATGAAGATGGCTTCCATATTATTTTTTTGCCATTCAGTACCCTCAGATGGTACTTGTAGTAATAAAGTTAATAATGAGGAATTATATTTTATGGTTGCTAAGCAACAACACTGCTGGAGGTTCTTCATCATACAAACTTAATTGTCATCATGATTTTTTTTTAAGAAATTACATTACCGTCATCGTTTATGTAGACTGATGATTGAATTGTGCGAGTATAACCATTGAATTAAAGTGTGGAATTGAAAACCTGTATTTATTTCCAAGTAATGAAGCTAGATCTTGTTGCTTTTACAGTTTATCTTATACAATTTATTTGAAGAATAAATACGAATGACAAACGTTTTCTTCAAAGTTAGCTTAGCTCAATCAATCAGGATGGAGAGCACATTGTTTTTCTAGTTTTGTTTTTCAAATTCACAAAGCGAGAACTGAAGGAGTTTGTTTTTCTCTAAAAAAAAAATGCGGAAGTGATGATTGTTTTTGTGCAAATATACTTGATGAAAACACAGGATGCTTCTCACACTCTATTTGATAGGCACTTTACTTTATTGTCAGTTTGCCAATTATCAAACTATCATGCAACCGTATATTTCTTGATGATCTAGCTGCATTTCCCACTATCATCACGTCATACGATTAAGTATATGTTCTCTCAAATTCACCCATGGGAAATGTGATTTTTGAACTTGCTTAGTGTTCCGGCAGCCAATCTTGACACATGCTGATTTTCGTTTCTGTCTCTCTATTCAAACTTTAATAGATCAAGTTGCCAACTCAAACCCGTTTCTGTTGACATTTGCATATGAATAAAATAGAACACAGGGCTAACCAATCATTAGACTGAATAGATCATTGCTGTTGAATGCACTCATACAAACGTCTTGGATGATGTGATTATAACTTTCTCTAAATCTGAAACACGTATTAATAATGGAACTTCATGGCCTTTCTCTGATGTGACGCTCAAAGAGCATGGAAGTTATTTTTACTCGTGACGCAGTATATGCATTCTGTACTTTCCTGTGAAAATAAGGCTGCAGAACATACTGCATTCACTCATGAAATAGTTTCCAAGCTCTTTGAACATCACATGTACTATTATGTGGCATTTTCTGTTACTCCACCTTTAGGGTTTCATTCAGTCATTTGCGGACACAGGTGGCGCTATAACCTTTTAGTCGGCTTTATTACACGTTTGATTAAAGTCTAGATAACTATTTAACATCTTTTTTTTACTCCACAAATCATGTTACTATTTGCTTATTTTCGCTTATAAAATTTGAAATTTCCAATCAATAACTTAGTGCAAAAATATTGAATTTGGCAAAAAATAATTATGAAAATTAAAAAAGAAACATGTTTAGTAGGAAAAATTGCTAAATAAATGATGGGACTATCCACTATCAAACAGGAATTGTATGAATATCTGCTTCATTGAACCTATAGTGTAACATTGTTGCTTTATGATTAATAGTTTTTACGTCTAAAAAGTTACACTTCCGTCATTTGCTGTACGAGTAAAATCCTGAATTACATAAGTATCGTCATTTCTCTTCATAACGGAAAACTAATAATATCATGAAATAGGAACACTTAGTTGCTATGGATACAGGCTGTAATGTACTAACATGTCTTTTTTATTCCTCACCTTTGTGAAATGTTACACAATGAAAATTTTTTTGTTTTGACAGATGGTGCATACGGTTAATAGTTCGTAACTATGAATTATGTTTTTATTTGTGACCTTACGTGACGTTACTGGTCATTTAATGTACACAACACTTACGGTTTACTTTTTTTTTACGTACTGTAAAATGACTAATTTTCACTGGGTTTAAATTTCACTGATTTACCATTACAGGCATATTCAGTGGGTTTTAAATTCATGGTTTTATCATTTAGATAATGTGTTCTATGCTAAATTTTAGCATTTATTCACTGGGTTTTAATTTAGTGCATTTTCCCACAAAACTTCCCACAAAATAGCCAAAATTTCTTTTCAACGAACTTTAATTCCAGTTAAAATAAAGTATTTTACAGTATTTGAGTTGGATAAATGTACATTTGTATGTAGAAATTTGGAATAAATAATCTTAGAAAGTAGTTACAAGGCGCTGGTACATAATTTCATGGAAATTCAAACTCTGTCATGGATCAGCATTATTTTTCTGAAAAATTAATATGCACAGTAAAGAGAACATAAGAATTATCTTTTGTGGCCTGAAATTTTGTTTTAATTTTCATTACGAAAATGTGAAATAAAATAACTAAATGTCACACCCATCCACACAAGATAGATCAAAGTTCAGGCATATAAATTCACCGATGTAAATCTTGAAAAAAAAAAGCCATATTAATTTTTATGTTATTGCATATTTGGTGATTTCTTCCTGTCTACATTCCAAAAACACATATTTGTATATTTGCTGTAGGTCACCATGGCAACAACTATCCAGTATCTAGGCAACATTATAGAATAAGCCTTTAAGATAAACTATTATTTTCACAGCGGAATTACATTTTAAATTCATAATTATATTCATAAAATTACTAACTGTAATACATTGTTGCTATCATGCTTTAGGCAAGTGTTCCAGTCCAGATTACATTACGATTTTACGCAGAATTCGATTAAGAAAGCTTATTACTGTAATTTTAAGAAAATAAATAGATTTTAACTGAAAATGACAGAAAAACTGATTATATTTTGCAGAACATATATATCCGGAACAGGTGAAATCATTTCTTAATGACAATCCAGCGTTTTTAGAAGACTACATTTTAAATAACGTCAATCAAGAAGACTTAGAAAGATGGATGATTCGGCGGGCGCAGAGATTGTCAAATGCAAAGGATGCTGGGAGAATTAATAGTAAGTAATGTCATATTAATTTTTTGACGAGGATAGAATGTTCACAATTATGCCATTAAGCGCTATCAGAATTATTTGTATAAATAATACCACAACCTTGTCAAAACAACATTTTTCATCCCACAATCGTTGAAATTGTGTGTATACGAAGTCAAATTTTAAATATTAAACAAGGAATATTCCAACAAATAATAATGCTCTATTAAAGTATGCGTCTAATATAAAAGCCGATGAAAAAAAAAGTTAGTATTAACAAATTACAGATGTTGTACTTAAGGCTATGGGAGAGATTATGCAATCTGTAATGTTGATGAATACATTGGATATTGATTCATGCTGAACTTAAAAATAATGTACAATGCGAATGAAGAAAAATCAAACATATTTTTAAGTTTGTGAGAAATCCTAATCCAATGTAGTAGCAAAATGCATTATTATAGCGATTTTTAGAATTATTCGGACAGTCAATTTACAAGTTGACTCGCAAGTTTTCAAAGTATTTTTGGCAGTTGCTTTGTTCTAGACTTGACAAATGGGTAATCAACATTATGATTTGCATACTTATTATACATATTCAATAACTATTCGTAGTTGAATGGAAAATCACCTATAAACATAGAGTAACGCCACGCGGTATTTTACAGGGTATTTTCATCCTACCATATTAGGAAATGCAAATTCCAAATATTGAAAAATTACGCATGTTAGCGTCCTCTAATAATAAAAACAAATATGGCTGCCACCAGGGTTTGACCGGACTCCACACAAAGAAGTTTGCTGATTCTGTTCTAAACTTTTGGGATTTCGGAATCCCCATGATGTATCCTTGGAAGGAGAAGATGTATAATAATTAGGTTATCACAAGGATACCAAAAAGTATGCACTCAGACAGTACCGGGTCGCATCATCTTCCGCTGCACATCTGTCAATACTCCCGCTGTACTGTCTTTGTGCATACTTTTCGGTATCCTTGTAATAACCTCATATTACTTGCATAGCTTATAGTTATAAGTTGTGATGATACTTTTACATCAAGGATTTTTCACCAAAAAAGATAGAAATATTGATACTTCTTAAAATGATTTTTAGATGTTTTTATGGTAAAATTTTCTTTTGATAAAACTTCTTATTTTCTGAATATTTCTGTTTTATTTCAATTGAGGATTCTCTCTTTCTTCTCTGCTTTCTTTGTTTTATTTCCAAATACAGAAAGAAGTAAGTAGAATTTTATGCATGAAGGGAACTTTATATCATATAATTTCATATTAATAACACTTTGTTGTTGTTCTGGTGGGTTCATATACTGTAGAATACTTTATTTTCGCTTGGAATTTATTTTCACTATTTTCGCTGTAAGGATGAATCCGTGAAAATAAAATCCAGTGAATATACTTTTTTCTGTATATTTCGCATTCAACTCGTCAAAAATCAGTGAAAATTCCATACAACACATTCAAAATATCTTTTCTGCAAAAATTAATTCCAGCTAAAATAAAGTATTTCACAGTACTGTTCATCTCATGAAAATAACACTATTTTCTGCTCTGCTAGGGGGTCATATACATGTCACATGAAAATATTACTATGCCTAGGGAGTCATGTACTGCTAATATGTCACAAAAGCAGCATTTTAGCTGTTCCACTTGGGAGCTATGGCGATGGGAAAAGGCATTTTGGCTGTTCTATTAAAGGGTTATGAACGCAATTTTGCTGGGGGTTCTAAGGCTGCTTTTTACAATCATAATGTGAAGCTGATTTCTGTGCATGTACAATGTAGTACTGGTACATGTTGTCTATCACAGAAATCAATGTTGTATGATGGCTACAAGTTCCGTAAAAAAAAAAAATCTTTTTATAAAATCAAATACTGTGAAATACTTTATTTTAGCTGGAATTAATTTTCGCTGAAAAGGCATTTTGGGTGTTTTCCCTGATTTTTGACGAGTTGAATATGAAATATAGGGAAAAAAGTATATTCGCTGTAAAGTATAAATTCCAAGCAAAAATAAAGTATTCTACAGTACCACACCATGCTGTTGATTTTTTCGATCATAAATGAGATGTGTATTCGGGTGGTTGCCATAATAATGGAAAATATGAAGATATGTGTCAAATCCACACATGTACTTCTTTCGTTTTTGCTCATATATTATAAAAACTCCACATGCCTCATCAGTTTTATTGTTTCCATAGCAACCATTTGAATCAAGCCATAATGATAATTTAATGATGATGAGTAAAATTTTATAGTTCATGTCTGTCGCCAAAATAATGGAGGTCATGTACTAATAATATTTATGAATATTTAATAATTGTTTTTAATTGAAATCTTCTTTATTAAATCTATTATTAATAGGTTTATAAATCAGTGTTTAGAAGAAAAGTTGGATATTGATAATACTCTCACACAAAGTGTGAAATTGGTCATTGCTTTGATACAATAGCTTTTAAATGTTTAATACACATCACCTAGGAAACCATTTTATGTTCAACTAGGTTATAGTTGATCAAACCATATGATATTATTCCCATTTTCCCACACATCAATCCCCATCAATAAAATAAGTTGTGAGTTTTCTGATCTATAATTTGAAAAGTAATGAAAAATAAATGAAAATACAACATTTGTGTTTGTTGATTTCATGCTACATTTGAAAAACAAAAATTTACCAAAATTTAATTTTTAATTTTAATTAAATATGATTTTATATACATAATAATTAATATTAATTTTCCTTTTCTAGTCTACATGAGAAAAGGAAAGCATTGTAAGTCTTGTTTCTTTGGGCAGTTTTTTTTTTAGTGCTACCAAAGCATGGGTGCCCGAAAATATGTATATTTTTTGCACAAAAATGTAACTGCTTTTTATAACTTTTTGGAATATACATGTATGAACAATTTTTCTTGTGTTTGCTCGAGCTTGCCGAGGTTAAAGTTTGTTGTCTTACTCTGATGTATTCGTGATGTGATTAACCATATATGGGTTTCTAGTGCATGTGATAAAAGTACATGTATTCTATATTCTTAAAACCGTCATAAAGCTTTGGAGTCTTGGGATTATTGTTTGAAATATTTGATGATCTCACTGTGATGCATTGTGGGGAAAATGAGGTTTTGCAATGTTTCTACTTTTCTGTGAATCTCAGTAATTTCAAACATTTAATTAAAAGATGTCAGCATCAAAATTAAAAAGTACGCTCAGATTGGCACCAAAATGAATGTCAGTGTTCGAACACGCTGAAAAGCAAAACAATTTGAACATTTATTATATATTCTTCACAATTCATGCAATTTTAATGCATCAAATATTTTACTTAATAGTCCCAAAATAACTCTATGAATGTTCTCAAGAGTACAACATTACCATGTAGGCTCATTTTTCAGGGGTGAGAGAAACAAACAGTAAAAGTATGACCTGACAAGTTGTGATATGGTGGCCATAACAACAGTTTTTGTGATTTATAACCATGACTGAACAAAATGGTGGATTTGATGATATACTCAGACACATCACATGACTTTGAAACTCATATAAGGCTCATTAAAGCATCACATTCATCATACAGCACACATTAGTATTTCATATACTCAAAGATGAACATTTTTATCTTGAGCTTCTTTTTCCTTAAAACCTAAAACATCGTACATTTTTGTACTATTTTCTTTCGCAGCATGTACATTTTGTTTATTTGTTGACGATTAAAAAAAATTTTCATGATTTTTATACTTTTTTTTGTTCTCATCTTAGGTGAAAATTCTCCAAGGAGGCTTTCAAGATGGAAGGTATGCAAATTTATGCTAATTATGTTGATTTCATGAATATTACATATTTTAGGTAGCAGTATTGATTGCTGATTGGCCTAATCATCCTATATGTCTGGATAAGTATTATAATTATGCGAGGGTCTCTATATTGGTGGTGTTCCAGGGTATCAATATAATTATTGTCAGTGTACTAGGGTGTCCAGATAACTAGTGAAAGTATGCTAGGGTGTCTAGAAATCTATTGAAAATATGCTAGGGGGTCCAAATAACTATTTAAAGTATGCTAGGGGTCTAGATTACAATTGTTGGTATGCTAGGTTTACCTAATAACTATTATCTGTAAATATTGTTTTAGAAAAGGTTTATTTTTATTTATCTGTATTTGGGGAATGGATATCAATGGTGGTCTATTCAGAATGTGAAACCTTGGAGGAAGCATCCTTGATGGCAATTTATATACTGTAAATTTTTTAGCTGGAATACATTTTTTCTGAAAAGAATATTTAGTTGTTTTGTATGGAATATATTTTCACTGATTTTTGATGAGTTGAATGTAAAATATTTAGGAAAAAAGGAAATATTCGCTGGATTTTATTTTCACCGATTCATGTTTTCAGCAAAAATAGCTGAAATAAATTCCAAGAAAAAAAAAGTATTCTACAGTATACACGTATCGCTCAAAATTGTAATAGTAGTTTATAAATAAATAAACGCTGCTCAAAATTGGGTGGTTTCTGGCAGAAAACATTGCAGTGAACTGTAGTTACGAAATTGATAGTAAATAGTTTATAGTTTTTTAAATGATGGAAAAAAAAATATTCAGACACCCCTTCTGTTCCACATGCACAAAAGACAATGATTGATACTACGTTTAATTCTGTTATTGACGCCATCTCTTGAAACAACTTCTTCGCATACTTTAGCCGACTCTGATAGTTGTTTAGCACCACTAATTTATGTATATTTGGACAGAGTTAGTTTTAAGCCTTCTGGTGAACTCTTGAGTATGATCACAAATGAAGACTGACCTAAAGCCTGAACAAACAACATAGCTTAAATCTCTGTCACGTTGTCATGGATCGAGTGTTAATTTGAATGAACTCTCGATTATGTAAGAAATTTAGTCAAGCATTCTACTTCTTATCAACCTTTATGTAATTTTTTAAATAGACAGACGTATTTTACAATTAATTTGCCAGGTGGTTTTCAGTCTCCGCCCCAGCCTCCCTCCTCTTGACATATCTCAACATCACTCAGATACGAAGTATCGAACAAATACACGTTGGTTATAAACTACATTTAGTTTTGTAGTAGCTTGTTTAATATATTTGACACATGTCAAAGCAGTTGATTTTTTGAACAATTTGACAAAAGCATATATGTGAATTTAAGTTTGTTTATTCGTGTATATTTCATTGTGAGTGTCAGCATTTTTTCTGGTCACGAACCGTTTTTTTTTTTATATTTACGTAAACATGGTCTCAACCGTGTTTGCTCACCTGACAGTGATGTTTATTTGTTAGATAAACAAATGTACATAAATAATTTAGTCAATATCTCACGACCAGTAACCATTATTAAAAACAAAGATCTATATTCTCAAATTTTGAATTTCGTGACATTTGATGAAAGTGGATCAGAATCTGTGTCTTTAGAACTCCAGCAAAACATTCTCTGCCACAAAATTTCAAATTTATGCGGCTTAAAAGTGCTTTTATGTTGTAAAGTTTTGCAATGATATATTCACTCATACATATATTTTCATACACTGTTCTGATATTTTGCATCATTTGAAATTATGTTGATGAAATTAGAAATATTGGTCATTCATTATTCACAACTGGATTGGCCTCTAGAGGGCAGACTAACATGAGCAAGACTTTTGCAACTATTAGTATTTGGTTTATGTTTTTCTAGTCTGTCTATTAAATGGGTTTCATTACAAGGCAGACTTTGGTACAAAATTCTCCTGAGAGTTCATATTTAAAAAAACATACTGTTAAATGACTAATTTTCACTGGGTTTAAATTTCGCTAATTTACCATTTCAGGCATATTCAGTGGGTTGTCAATTCACGGTTTTGTCATTTAGATAATGTGTTCCATGCTAAATTTTACATATTCACTGGGTTTTAATTTAGCGCATTTTCTAGTCAGCGAAATAAGCAAAATTAAAACCCAGTGAATAATTAACCCCTTTACAGTAAGTTAGCTTCATGTGTGTGTGGGAGAGAGGGCAGTATCTGATAATGGGGATGCTAAGACTAGAATAAGAGGGAAGACTTTTTTATTTCTCAATGAAACAGTTCCTCTGTTCAAAATGTGTGAACAGTTTTATTAATAGCCAATGGTGTGAAAATCAAGAATGACACCTACGCGTACCTGCGTGCGTCAAGGGAGACCTACTTTTCGTTATCTTCACTGATCGCTTATTAGCATGGTTGACTTTTTCCAATCATTATCTTTTAATCAACTCTATGTCTCCATCACTCTATCTCTACATCAATGAATCTTTTTTTTGTCCATGTCTCCATCAGATGCATAATATCTCTCCTCTTGTTGAATGCTATAATTTTTCCTACAAGCAATTTATGCAATATTATGCATATTTCAATAATTCTATAATTTTGTTGTTGATTTTTAAACTAAATGAACATAATTTTCCATTTCCTTCAAGTCTTGCTCAAATTTTAAAAAAAAAATATGGCAAAAAATCTGAAAGTCTGTTTTGCGAACAATGACTTTAGGATCAACAAATTCAATTTCTCCTACTTGTCAGTTAAACCTCTGCCTTCCCAACCATCGTTTTTACTCCCTCTTACCCACTAATGTATCTGCATCACATTCTCCAATTATTCAACCACATACTGTTTACTTTTTGAGAAACAAAATCGCATCACATTTGGCACCCATTATGTCGGCGTCAACTAGCATCAAATTTTATCTTAAAGTTCACACGCTTCGATTTCTTTATACTCATAATATTCACTCTCTTCATTCGCATCATTAAACTCGTCCTCCTCTGATTATAATCACCGCTTTTCTTGTTATCACTCTTCACTTAACTCTATAATACCTCTGATGTGTTTGGTGTTCCGTGCATAATGACATGACAGACATAATAACTTCTTTCATGTTCATCAACTCCCGCTGGATGCCTTGTTGCACGCATATAATAACATTATTATATCATGTGAAGATTTTATTTTTCATCAAATCACATTATTATAGTCTCTTTTACTTCTCCCTCGCCTAAGTGTTCATGAAATATTAATATTAAATAATTAATATTATTTATTAAATTAAATCATTTATTAACTTTGAAAACCAAAATCAACTTTTCACAAAATATACAGATCTGAATTAATTTTTTACATATATTTTTATAAAATATTTGATCAAAACATTAAAAATGATATCAATTTAGTTGAAAATTAGCAAAATAATTTTGATAAAAACAAAAACTATGCAAAAATTTGGCGGGAAGTTTTATGACATTGAAATGGTTGATGATCTTCAGATGTGCAATCATCTTAATCCTTTGAATGTCATCATTTTTCTCAGAAAAATATCGGTGCAACATTTTCTGTTTTTATGTATTTTTCTATATTTATTTTAATAATTTTGAACCAAATAATCATAATTTCATATCGGCTACAAGCCTTGATCAAAATTTTGGAAAAATTATGAAAAAATTATGTAGGTCAAAAATTCGTAAATAATGACTTCGACACTCAGCGTTAACAAATTATATTTTTTTGTTTGGAATGAAAATTACTGGAAAAAAAAGATACAAAATGTCATTCCTGATATTTTGTTGCTTTTGAAAAATATAAATCAAAATAAGTTATAAACAAGGGCATATTAAACAAAGGGTTTGTAATTATGACATGAGATCTCAATGAAACTCGTGCATTCAAATCATAAGCAAAATTGTATCTCAAATGATGCTAAAAAAATAACTTGTATGAGCTCACATCATGTGATTTCAGTGAGATGTGTATGTGTACATGTGTATGGACGTCAGGTACCCTTATTTTGATCTGCCCTTGATATAACATGACACCTTTTCACAGCTGGCTTCCGTTACCTTGATAACTGAGTTTGGGACCCCCATCGTGAATATTATATAGTTTTCCACTGTTCAAGTATTGAAGTTAATGATAATGTTGGAAGCCAATTTGTTGTCTCTTTTGTCTCTCCATTTCTCATTATAGAGATATACATTTGTATTTACACTTATTATCACTGTCAAAGATTTTGCTGAATTTCACTTAAATCTCTATTTTGATATTTCTCACAATTCGGTTCTAAATCATTCATAATACAATTTCCTGCTGAGTCATTTCTTTATTATTTTGGATCAACTGTGCCGCGCCATAGCCGAATCAATGTTTAATTTATTCTACTCTACTATTATGACATTTCTATTAAGTGAACTCTGCAAAAAAATATGTTTGTTATTTTTTCTTTAAAAACATGTTTTTAGAATTTATAATAGGTCATGATCGATTCAATCAAAGAAAAATGTATTAAGTTTTCAGTAAACCTTGAAATATCAATTCTTTATTGAGCTTACTGATTTCTATTTCATATGTTGGTTTTACCATGAAATGGCAAATTTAAACAAAAGAACTAAGCAGACACACTCTAGGGGGCGCTATACTAGTTCCCCCCTAGTTACTATTAGTATGCTTTTGTACTTTGTTATCTCTAGTCAGTACGTTAAAGAGCATGTGACAGAATTATGTTGAGATCATGTGTGTCATTTTTATGCAAATTGAATACATGTCTTTGTTTCTTGACCTTTGAAGGTATCTTACAATGTACGTACAGATATCAAAAAGTCGTAAATAATATTTCGCATATGGACGCTTGTTTGTAAACATTGACACGCTATGGCCATCTGAAGCATGCGAAGGTGACGACTCCCCCGCTTTAATGTCTGTATATATGTTTTCAAATTTTATGAACATCTCAAAAACTTTAAAATACAACCTGGATATATAAAATATAAAATCAACAAAAAACTGAAAATGGTATAAGAAAACATCTGTCTAAAACTGTTTATCAAACCCACCTTTACTTACAAGATTGACATTGTCCCGCGCATGGCAACAAAGCAACCATGGAACTCACTACTCGTCTATTGTTCATATTGTCGTAATCAGTGATTTATTTTGTATTTTACAGTTTTGCGTTCACAAAGACAAAAGGAAAATGTTACAAGAACTGACGAGAGATATCCATCAACATCCCAACAAAGCACAAGTGTTAAATGAATTATCTGAATGTATATCGTCAGCCATCAGCGCAGACGGCACACATCTTTATTTAGTAGATGAAAACAGAACAGTGAGTTATTTATCATTCCTTCAAATAAATTTTACTTTAATGTTTTGCCCAAAATAATGATAATTCAATAACTGTGGTCATCTCAGCCGTGGTATATGTTGCTATGCATAGTATGGAATGAGGTCATGACCACCACTCTATTTTGAAACATTGTATCAAACTTATTCGAAAAAGTACCAGTACATCCTTTGATTGTTGTATAGCGCCACCAAGTGGTATCACTAGGAAATGTAAGATCAGTTGAAGTATTGGCTTTTTTCAACTATTGTACCAAATTCATTCCACTAAATTATTATTCCATTTTTTTCAGGATCTTTACCTCTACAAACCAAGCAATTTAATGTAAGAATTGTGTTTTTTTATTTATTTATTGAATATTAAACTTTTGTAATAATACAAAAACATAGAGAATACCATATAGAGAATTACTTGAACTTTGAATAACCAAATATGCTAATGTTGTATTATTACCATATGTGGTAATATATGAGAACCAAGATGACCATATATGGTAATATTACACACACCAAATATGGCAATATGTTACTTATTCAATACTGTGTTTACAGTGACAATACAGTGAGATGGAAAATAGATAAAGGAAGTACAATTGCAGGATTTGCTGCCCACTCGTTACAAACAGTATGCACTACAGATTTCACAGGGGTAAGAAAACCTTTATAGTTCCTTTTCCTAAAACTAGAAAACACAAATTAAGTAAGCTAAACACTTCAAAGCCTATAGCTACTTGATTCTTTGGAAAGGAAAGTGTGATTGGCAAAATATGAATATTTGCATAAATTTGAATATTGTAGAATACTTTATTTTCGCTTGGAATTAATTTTCGCTATTTTCGCTGAAGGAGTGTTTCAGTGAAAATAAAATCCAGCAAATACACCTTTTTTCCTATATTTTACATTCAACTCATCAAAGTTCAGTGAAAATAAATTCCATACAAAACGCCTAAAAAGTGTTTTCACCAAAAATTAATTCCAGCTAAAATAAAAGTATTTTACAGTACCGGTAATTCACATTTACTTTATTTTCTTGAAGCATTCTGGGTATTTTTATTTTGTAGGATGCAAGGTATCCTGTAGGAATGGCAATAGATGAACCTAATACATTTTCCGCACTAGCATTACCAATCATACAATCAAATGGAGAATGTATAGGTAAGTCATCCATATATGGTAATTCTGGAGACTGAATAATTATAAAATTACCATATATGGTAATACATGTATAACTAGTTATACAATATATTGGTAATTAACCATATATGGTAATGTTAGAGGCTGAATAATTATAAAATTACCATATATGGTAATACATGTATAACTAGTTATACAATATATTGGTAATTAACCATATATGGTAATGTTAGAGACTGAATAATTATAAAATTACCATATATGGTAATACATGTATAACCAGTTATACAATATATTGGTAATTTACCATATATGGTAATACATGTATAACTAGTTATACAATATATCGGTAATTAACCATATATGGTAATGTTAGAGACTGAATAATTATAAAATTACTATATATGGTAATACATGTATAACTAGTTATACAATATATTGGTAATTAACCATATATGGTAATGTTAGAGACTGAATAATTATAAAATTACCATATATGGTAATACATGTATAACCAGTTATACAATATATTGGTAATTTACCATATATGGTAATACATGTATAACTAGTTATACAATATATCGGTAATTAACCATATATGGTAATGTTAG